TGTGTGTGTGTGTGTGTGTTTATGACTCAGCTCTACTTGTGGGGATGAAATTGCAAAATGTTACCTCATTAAAAACAACTCAAATAACAACTTGTCCTCAAAAGCAAAAATGGCCCAAAGAGACTCAATAATGTCTTTATTCACTTGTAAAGGGCCAGAGGCTGCGAGCGGAAGAACAACAAAAAAAAAAGAGTAGTCATCACTGCCATATGATTTACTACTAATTAACACGACACTCAACTCAGTTACAATATGTGGCAAAACAGAATTTTAAACTCATTTTATTACATAAATAAATAAAATTGTAATATCTGCTAATTTGCCATTTTCATTTTAAATACAATTCTCCCTAAATGCTATTTTCACTCTGTAGTTCTAAAATGCTTTTTCTGATCAAATACTCAAATACAGAATGCGTTTCTGTTCCACTCTATCCTCAACACTATGAGGTATTAAATAACACTACTATTATGAGTTTTTATTTGTTTGTTTGTTTGTTATTTTTGCACATTCAAACCCAAAATATTTAGCAATGTGACAATGCTGACAATGCACGTTTCGAAATAGAAATGCCATGAGTTTTATTATTATTAGTATTACTATTATTATTATTATGAGTAGTATTAGTATTAGTATTATGCTACAACAACAACTACTACTACTACTAATAATAATAATAATAATAAATCACACATCATTACTAATTGTGATGTGTGATTTATCACAAAACAAACTGAAACAGATTCACATTATTGGTAGTTCTTATACCACGGCTCATCGGAGATCTAACTGCAGCACTTTTTAGACCAAAAATGACAAAGAAAATCTACAGGGAAACAAACGTAATGGTAAGTTAACACAAGACAAGGAACTGAACAAATTTAGGGCAAATAATGCACAGGTAGATAATGAAAGAAGAAACAGACATAATAGGTACAACAAATGAGCAGCTGGAGCAAAAGAAACAAGAACGAAACATAGTGAAACAAATTATTACACGGCTCTGTGGAATACTTGATTCTGATTGGTCAGTCGAGACATTCCGAGGTCTGTTATCCCTCGATAACAACCGGTAAAAGCTGATAACACAGGCTCAACCGGGTAACTGAAGTCGGCACTATACGCTTTCTAGGAACAGTTTTTGATAAGATGGTAAGATTTTAAAACAGTTTTGTCTTAAATAAATATCTTTTATCGTCATAATTATTTATGTGGTGAAATGTTGTGTAATAAGTATGCACCGTATGACTGCACCGTATCCCTTAAATGTCAGTGTAGTTTGAACTTGCCGCTTGCTCGCAACTCATGTCTTTACTGAAGCTGTGTGTTCAAATATTTCAACTGAAATCAATATTTTGTGTCAAATTATTTACTTATGTGGTAAGTAGCCGTGTAATAAACGGGATAATGTACATCCAGCCGGTTGTTATTGCAGAATAACCTCCGCTTCACGTCTGGGTCCTGATCACCCTGTCGGGGGTTATTCTGCAATTACAACCGGCTGGATGTACATTATCCCTTACGTAAAACAAAATGAAACAGAGCAAAACTGTGATAGTACATCCCCATCCCGGCAGCTGCCTCCTGTCACAATATCTGAATGGTGGGAAGGGAGCGGAAGTGACCATGGGGGAGGAGGTGGGAAGGAGACCCCAAAGAACTAGTTAATTACAGACCGATCTCGAATCTCCCTTTTCAAGATTTTTTTTCTGTCCAAGATACTAGAAAAGGTAGTATCCTCACAATTATATTCCTTCTTAGAGAAAAATGGTATCTGTGAGGATTTCAAGTCAGGAAAACACGGTGTTAGCTTTCACTGTTATGCAGATGATACTCATCTCTATATTTCTTTGCAGCCCGGCGAAACATACCAATTTGAAATACTAACGGAATGCATAGTCTATATAAAAAAACTGGATGACGAGTAATTTCTTAGTGCTAAATTCTGAAAAAACAGAGGTGTTAATTATAGGACCTAAAAACTCTGCATGTAATAACCTAGAACACTGTCTAACACTTGATGGCTGCTCTGTCAATTCTTCGTCATCAGTTAGGAACCTAGGTGT